ATGGTCATGGAGTTCAGTGATGCGTATCCTTTATTTCACTGTAAAATAAACATTCTTTATGGTGAATTGAATTGGTTACCATGGGGTAACCAATTCAATTCACCATAAAGAATTACTTAAATTTGATTTACAGTACGTGACCGACATGTCTGGTAAAAAAAATAAAAACAAGTATAACAAAAAAAAATTAAGCACGATTGACTTTGCCATCATATCATTATAAGCCAAATCAGTGGTTTATCATAATGAATTCACGTGATTCGGTTTTATTGATAATATTACGTCTAGAACGCAAAAAAAGACTTTCAACTTAAGTTTGAATAGAAGAGTCAACACGGCCCAACCCTTAATATTTTTTTACTAAATGTCCGTTCTAGTTATTCATTGTTTTATCAGCTAGAAGTGTAGATTAAAATTCTAAGTGCACGATATTTTTATAAAGTATTTCCTATCTATCTTTCCAGTTAACTTTAAACTTGGAGTTCGGAGCAGATGCTATGCTCACAGTTTCAAGAACCTCGCGCCAATATAAATTTTAGTATCTCGCCTTTGTGCATTGGATAATAAAGTTTTATAATATTCCTGGCAACTTTTGCTTGTTTGTTAAAGTTTTTATTCTTTTTTATTCATTTTTATTGAAGTTATAGACCAGCCAGCAACAACATCTGTTGTTCAAATGGGACTGATCCGGACCACAACCAAAGACGACAGGCGTAATGTCGGTGCATTTCCGTGGCCCGTCTGATGAGTGAGCATCCCGGAGACCTAATTTTAGTGTTCTTTTCCTCCCACAAATTTTTTAGGGGAATTGGATTTGTCGGAGGATATGCGACTTGCATAGAAAGGGGAACAACTATCTTCACGTCTTATCCTCGATTAAAGGAAGACAACACATCTCCTTTTGATTGTATATATCTTACTTCATAAGCTTAGATTCTAAGCTAAAGAAGTATATTTCAGTGAAAAATTAAAAGTATAATATTATGATTATATAGTAGAGAATCAGTTATTCATCATCATTAGCTCACTGTACGTCCCCACTGAGGGGCTCGGAGCCTACACTAAATTAGAGGTGACTAGGCCATGTCGCGGACGAAAGCGCAAGCGTGCCCTTGGCCTCACCAGGGAGTAACAGAGGGGTTTAGTGAGTATGCTTCCCATCCGGAAGAGAATCCCACATAACTTCCGCATCCCCCCCCCCCCCGGGGCGTATGTAGTATTTATAAAGCATTGCCCTCTGAAAAAAAGGGGTGATTGGCCGTAGTCAACAGCATCCCAGTGCGGGTTCACTTCACACATATCTTTGAACTTCTTCGCAGATATGTACGGGTTGCATCACGATGTTTTCCTTCACCGTAAGAACAGACGAAATAATTTCCTTTCCTTCCCGAAGAAGAAATAATTTTTATTATAATACAAATATTATTATCATCTAATAAACTTATCGATGACAATTTAGCATAATCGTTATCATAAGAAATTTCACAATAATTAATTTAATCTCTTTTAAAAATGTGACTTACGCGTGTGAATATCGAACTAAAATAGGAAGCAATTTCTATCGAATGCATTTTCAAAAGCAATTACTTTGAAAAGCGTTTTATCACAGTTAAATACGTTTATCTATGTACATTACTGTGTCCCGATAGTTTACAATCTGACAAATGCTATGACGTAATGTGTGTAGAATTTGATTTAAATGAAAAATTTATTTTTAGTAAATAATGTATGCATAGAGTTTTATAACTGAAGACCATTTTCACTACGGGAACTTATTCTACACTAAGGAAGGCTTACGTCATAACTGAATAACCCTGCAGACGGGGCCGCGGACGAGAGCGAGAGCGTACCCGTGGTCCTGTCCCGACGCGTTAGAGGAATAGAGAGGTTTAGTGGGTATGCCTCCGCTATGGAGGATAATCCCACATAACTACTGCGTCCCCCCTGGGGCGCGCAAGTTATGTGGGATATAAAGCATTCCTCTCTGGAAAAAAAAAAAACTGAATAACCCTGAGAGTGGTTTTCTCAAAAATAAATATCTCTTACTAATATTATAAATGCGATTGTTTAGATGGATAAATGTTGGAAGGTATCTCCGGGACGTCTAAACGAATCTCGCTGAAATTTAGAATAGATGTAGAACATAGCCTGAAAGAACATATAAACTACTTATTAACTTTTTTATTATTTCAGCGTGGAAAGTGTCGCGGGCAACAGCTAATTATATTATATTTTTATCGGAAATCTTGTATTTGTTAAAAAGTTAACAACAACGTAATTTTTCTTTGTATTTTTTTTTCAAAATCCTGTAGTAAATGTTTTTTTAAGTTTGCTAGAATATTTCTGTTGTGTTATATTTTACTTACAACGCGCTATGAGAGACAATTTGGCTAATTATACAATCAGCCTGAACCAGACTGATTTCCTTCGCAATTAATCTAAGGATAAGCCGCGTTTGTAAAGATTAAGCTAGTTACACACGAAGGTGAGGCAGAACAGTTCGATTTAGTATAACACGGTTGAACCCACGTCGCACGGTGACTAGGCTTCAATCAAGTTGGCCCAATGCGGACTTTACATATATCTTTGATTTTTTTCGCTAATTATGTACAGGATGCATCACGATGTTTCACGATTTGAAAACAGTGGATGGAATTAAAGATGGACTTGTAGATTACAAGTTAAGTGGTTAACCCTTGTGCCATTGAGGTACTTCTTTTCAAAACCGGTCAGTACTATTTCGGTTTGCGTTCAAACAATGGTTGTACTGCATTGTCCTACTTACTACCTCACTGTTCTTCGCTAGTGTGAAACTAGCATTAGAAACCAAGAACCCGTCTTATTTCGTATCGTAGCTAAGTTGGATTAAGCAGAGGTCTAAAGATAAATGTAACCGGTGATACAGACTTTACTATCAACATACCTGTCAAATAAGAAAAGTTAGAGAGAATTACATTAATTTATTCCATAAAACCTATTTAAGATTCGTTGTATAAATCAAACACCTTTCTGGGGTATTCTTGTAAAAATCTACCAAAGTTTCATCACAATTTGATAACTAAGTGCCGTACTCAGAGTCGTTTGGGGTTAGACAAAGTGCATTCCTCCGAAGCGATTCCATAACGTACTTCAAAGATGTATTAAACTGACGCGCGACAATCGCATAATTATCGAAAGTTATTGTCAGTTCTATACATTTTTAAAGTTCGTTATGGAATCGTTTCGGAGCGAATACATTTTATCTAACCCCCATGGTTAGTTAAGCAGTGCCCGAATGCAGATATCTTTTACTAAATCTACATTAAGACGCGCCATTAGTACCACTTAGCTCTAATTGCATCAGTTAGCCATTAATTAGATTTTAAAGTAACTTTTGTAGGGCGTTATAAAAAATCTAGTATTATTATAATTATAAATTTGCAACGATTTCGAACAAGGCAAAGAGGACATAAAATGTACGGAGTTTAAATTCCCGTTATCTTTTGCCTGTTCACTTGACAGCATTGACCTGATGCCCTTTAAAAGGATTACAGCTTCGCGCATTAATATAATGATAGATTGAAGACCTTGACCTTGACCTTGACCTTGACCTGACCTTGACACGATCGACGACCGCAAGTCATAATAGCAATCTTACTTCTTACTAATCTTACTATTATTATAAATACGAATATTTAGATGGATGTTTGTTTGAAGGTATCTCCGGAACGGATCAACGGATCTTAATTAAATTTGGCACAGATGTAAAACATAGTCTGGAAGAACACATACTTATTAATACTGCGCGAACAGAGTCGCGGGAGACAGCTAGTTTATTATATCTTGTAATATAATATAAATAATAAATGTAGTCACGTGCATCAGACCCAAGAACAATGTGAACCATTGAGAGATAATTTATTATGGAAGTACAGTAATTATTTCTTAATGGTTTTTTTAATTTATAATAAGTCTTAAGAATGCAATCTCTTATATAAATGGATAAAATCGAAAAAAAATACTGTAAATAGATTATATTTTTATCTCAGCAGCCATCTTGTAAGTCAAAATAATTATTTTATTCTCTTCTATAACTATAATTTCCATTAAAAGTAATACAGTTTTATAATGGCATCTATTCTAAACTATATTTTTATTTTTGAAAAAATAATTTCAACTTTAAACTATATACTATATAAAAACGGCTAAACACTCACGTATATTCGTTCGGTGGCGGCACCGACTAGTTTCGAGCCCATCGGGGGCCCTTCATCAGGGTGAATGGGACTGGTATGATTTCGCGGACGCGGCCCGTCGCTCATTCATTGAAATGCCGCCACCGGACGAATATACGTGAGTGTTTAGCCGTTTTTATATAAGTTTATTATAATGTCTCACGAAAGTTTGAATACAGTTCAACATTTTTAATTTAGTTTTTTATACATACGTTACAACTCTATATTTAATAAGTTTAAGAGCCATAGCAGTTTTCCAAGTACTTTTGATGTCGACTACATACAGGACCATAATTAGTAATCAAATTTAGTATCTTAAAATTATCTTGATTTTTTTTAGAAAACGGCCTAAAAAAACTAAATGATTTTTCCCACGTTCGTTATTTTAGCTACCGTGGGATATATCACATTTTGCTAAGTTTATTTTCTATACAATTGAGTCAAATTGCATTGTAGTCTCATGTTTATCCCTTCAGAGCCGACCCGAAAGTTACGGGTCCAGATTTCATTATATCTTTTCCTATACGGAAAGATACGTGATTTTTGATATTTCATCAAAGAAAATATCTATTTTCACTTCATTTCAATCAAACTGAATATTCTGAACCCTTTTTTATTTTTTTAAATTTAATATTATATTATTTTCTTATCGTAAATCATAAAAATATTCGCATGGAATTTTACTAATATTATAAATGCGAATGTTTGGATGTATGGGTGGATGTTTGTTAGAAGGTATCTCCAAAATCCGCATGGATCGCGACATAAGATGTAGAACATTGTCTGGAAGAACACATAGGCTTCTAAGTATTTTTTTCTTCCGCGCGAACGACAGCTAGTATTACCACAAAAACAAAAACAGGTTGTGATCAATGAAATATCATTACCTATTTCATTGTCATTGTTTCAATAAAACATTAAACTTCTCTACGTAATATGTTAAGATGAATACCACCTATAGGAAACGCAAATAAACGCATTGGATCATATTTAAATTCTAACGGAGTGTTCTTTGAAATATCTACACGGAATCTTGATAAAAACTTCACGATGCATACTTGAGACTGCAATTTAGCAAAGCGTATTCCTGAAAATGAAAAATTAACAATTAAAGCCACTAACATATAACGATGTTAGTCAGGACTATAACAGACAAGAAAAAATAAATAACTAAAAAGTTATAGCGTTATTCAATAAAAGAAACATTTTTTCATGCAATAACCTACAAAATTTACAAACCTAAACAATTCCTGGGACCAACTCCGAATGCCAGATACGCGCAAGAATGCCTCTTGCTCACATTTTCTGGACTGAATCGTTCCGGGTCAAATATATCTGGATTTGGATATTGTTTAGGATCGTGGTGAACACCCCAAGCTGATACAATAACTGTTTGCCCTTTGCGAATAGTAACATTAGTATCAGGGATTGTGTAGTCAGTTTTAGCGTTGCGTTGCAAAAGATCTCCCATCGGATATTTTCTTAAAGTTTCATCTAATACTTGACATAAGTATGTCATTTTACATAAACATTCATAATTTAAATCGCCATTATATTGTTTAAGAATGGTGTCAATTTCAGAAATTAGCTTGTCTTGTATGTCAGGATTTTTTGCTAATTCGTAGAACAAATATGAAAGAACTGATGCTCCAGTTTCATAACCAGCAACATAAAACACAAATGTCTGCGCTGCAATAATACTGTCTGTGAGTTCGAGTGCTTTAACATCTTCATCCTCATTTCTTTTTGCCCCTTCTATAGTTTTCTGTTGTCTTAATTCTAAAATGAGATCGATGAAATCTTTTCTATTTGATGGCGTTCCTTCTCTTTGTCCAATAACACTTTTTGTTAGGTTATCGAAGAATGTACTTACGTCTTTAGGAAAGAGTGAGCTATTAAACTTTTTCAATATACCCGGATACATCATATCAAGTTCGTTGCCGTAATTTACAGTAAAAACTAATTTGTCAATTCTATCCAAAGTTTTTACCATGTCTTTATCTAAATCAACACCGAAAGCACATGCTGCTATAGATGCTATTGTGTACTGCTGAAAAACAAGATGCATTGATTGTTCTGGTTGCTTTTGAGAAATTTTATCAACATAATTAATAAATTTATCCCCACATTCAGTCATCAGTCGCAACATGTTTTTAAGCTTTCCCGAAGTAAACAGGGGAGTGAAACGGTTCCTTAAAACTCTCCATCTTTCACCATCGGCATGGAAAAGGTTAACACCAAGACCCTCATCACTAAATTCGATTCCTCTATCCACGAACAAATCAAAGTCTTTGATCATCACATGCTTAATTACATCCAGATCACGTAACAAAAGACACGGCGTTGTCATTCTAAAAATTCCAACGACCTTTTCATTAGGAAATGCCTCATAAATGCTACTATAAACCATAATCACAGACTTTCTTCTTAAAAAAGAATCCTTAAGGTTACCGAAGAACGGGAGTGGTTTTGGTCCGGGAACATTTCTTTTTATCCAGTAATGAAAAGTCCTGGTGAAGTAAAAGTATATTATTATTAGCAAAATTGCAACACTCACTAATATAAAAATCATGTTTACAACCACACAAGTTCACTGAATGACACGCAACAAGTAAATGTACAGTTCAATAAAAACAAGTTTTTTTTTAATAACAGTTGCTACTTAATTACTATTATTGAAGCAAGGATGTACTACTAAGGAACACGCTTGTGATTATCGTGTATAATTCAAATCCGACAATATAAATAAGAATAAAATGCAAATCTCGCAATTAACCTAATAGTTATCTGAACGACGTAATAATACGTGGAAAATAACTGGTTGTCATCATAGTAATATTATAAATGCCATATCAAGAAGCTCTCGCTAAACAGTTGGATAAAGGGCCCGATACAAAAGGCAGTTATCCTAGAAACTCACGCATCGTGAGAAGGTTCCTGTCTCTGCAGCCCTGACCACTGGTTGTTTAATTCATGGGACTCCGCAGCCGGTGGTGCTCTATTTTTAATGTAGTATATTTTATATAATTTTTTATTTTTTATATGAAATGTAATATATTAAGAATAAGGTTAATAAATGAATAAGTGTTATAAATGCGAATGGTTAGATGGATTGATGGATGGATGTTTGAAGGTATCTCCAGATTAAATCCTCCCCTCTCGATGAAATTTGGAATAAATATAGAACATCTGGAACAACACATAGGCTACTAATAATATGTTTTAATACCGCGCAGACGGACTCGCGGGTGACCGCTAGTGTAATATTATAATGGATTCAGGATGCTGATGAGGCTGGCTTCTGCAGTGCATCTGGTATGCTCAGTCAGGCGTTGATGGCTGTCATAATAGAAAAAAAATTGTCCTCGCTCTGCGGGCTGCGAGCCAGTTCCAACTTCATCCTAAGCACCATAGCATGGAGATTTTTTCTCTACCATTACTAGGAATTGTTCGTAGATGCATCTCGTACCACTAAACTAGTAACAAAATTAATTATATCAACTGCTCTATGTACTAACACTATATGGATGGAACTTGTCTAATAATTGAATGAGTAAAAAAAAACTTAATTAGTAACCTCTGTGTTCTTCTAGACTATATTCTATAGGTGTGAAAAATATCAAGATCGGGTAAGCCAGATAAATTCAAACAAGCATCCATCTTAACATTCGCATTTATAATATTTGTAAGATATAGTTAATTTCTAATTATTTTAACAGTGATAGAGCCCGCTTGAACATCTTCGCACGAATTGTACCGGCTTGCCCGGTGAAATACCACGACCACACAGAAGACAGGCGTGAAGTGGAAGCTATTCCTCGTTTCGTCTGATGAGTGTGCGTCCCGGAGGTCTAATTTAGTCCTCTTTCCCTTCCCATCCTTTTCTTTATAAGGAAAGGATGGGAAGTGGAAGTGGGCTTTCCGGATGAGAGGATGCATGGAAAGGGATATTTTCTTTCTGTGCATCCTCTCCTCCGTCGATTTAGGGTTGGGGTAGGCGACGCATATGCAATTGCGTATGTCTATGGGCAGCAGTCACTTCGCTATTTCAGCGATTTCAGGTGGCCGCTCGCTCGTTAGCCACAAATATATATATATAAATAACTTATTAGTTGTTTAGACTCCAGGCCATCATATAGGAGCTTGATCGCACAAAACATTACGCCCTTTATCTAATTATTTTTATACCGATAAGAAATTATCAGTTTAGTGTGTATTTAATAAGAAACGAATGTTTGCAATATCTTCGATCCATCAAATAATATATAATTATAGATAAATAATAATTAAAACTTATGACTAATAAAACTTGTCATGACATGTATAAATTCCATCTTGTAAATAATACGTAAATATTTTGCAACGAAATATGTGACTTAGCAAAAAATATATTCTACTTCCTACCAATAATAAAAAATAAAAAAATTGTCATCCAATTTTTTTAAAGCGAATAAAATCTCAATTCACGGCCAGTGCTTTTTTTTAGTTTATCATACTTCTTACTTACACACTGGTCGTTTAAGCACTAGTGAGTGAAAATGAAATTTACATACATATAAACCCTTTTACAAACATAAAACTTACATACAAAAATATTACCCTCATTGTCAGTTGGTTAGTAAATATAAAGTTCTTTAAAAACACATTTCGTTATTATTACGAAATATTTAATAATTATTAAATTAGTGGCTCATAACCGCGACTTTGTCAGTGCAATTAAAAAAAAACTTGTTAAGTTGCGTAACAAACATCCATCCATATATCCAAACTTTCGTAATTATAATATTAGTAAGATAGGAATGAATCGACAAAAAACAAATGACTTGTCAGTTTTTAATTTTGCTGACTCATTATTATCTATATTAAATTTAAACACTATAAACATGATCAGCGTTATTAATATAATATATTTGTATATATATATATTCTCCCTTGTGTACCTCTTGTACATATCATTCAGTGATCTTGTTTGGCAACATGGTGTACGTCTTATTGACCGCTGTCGCGGCTTTATTCGCCGCTTTGTACTATTATTTCACCCGGACTTTCGATTACTGGAAATCAAGAAATGTTGTCGGTCCCAAACCTCTACCGTTCGTCGGAAATCTCAAGGGTTCTTTCTTCAGAAGAAAACAAGCAATTATGGAGTTGAAAGAAATTTACGATAACTATCCACAAGAGAAAGTCGTTGGAATTTATAGAATGACAACGCCTTGTCTTATGATACGTGATCTGGATATAGTCAAGAATATTTTAATTAAAGATTTTGATTTGTTCGTTGATAGAGGAGTTGCATTCAGTGACGAAGGTCTCGGTGTTAACCTTTTCCACGCCGACGGCGAAAGATGGAGAGTTTTAAGGAACCGTTTCACTCCGCTGTTTACTTCGGGAAAGCTCAAGAACATGTTGCGTCTTATGTCGGACTGTGGAGACAAATTTGTTAATTATGTCGACGATGTTATTCAAATTAATGCGGAACAGCGCATGTACCCTCTCGCTCAAAGATTTACAATGGCATCGATCTCGGCTTGTGCCTTCGGTATAGATTTAGATAAAGATATGTTGAAATCTTTGCAAGAATTGGACAAATTAATTTTTACCGTAAATTACGGCATCGAACTCGATATGATGTACCCTGGAATATTGAAAAAGTTAAATGGTTCACTTTTCCCAAAGAGAGTGAGTACATTTTTCGACAACCTTACTAAATCTGTTATTCAACAGAGAAGTGGTTTGCCAACAAATAGAAAGGACTTCATAGATTTAATTTTGGAATTGAGACAAAAGAAAAAAATTTTAGGATCAAAAAGAAAAGACGAGGAAGATGTGAAGGAGCTCGAACTGACCGACAGCATCATTGCAGCGCAGACGTTCATATTCTACACGGCTGGATACGAAACTAGCGCTTCCACCATTGCCTTCATGTTGTACGAACTTGCCAACAATCCTGATGTGCAAAACAAGCTTATTGCAGAAATAGATGAGACTCTAAAACGTCATAATGGAGAAATAACTTATGAATGCTTGAATGATATGCCATATTTAGGTCAGACATTTGATGAAACATTGAGAAAATATCCTGTTGCAGATATTCTGCTGCGTAATGCCAAAGTTGACTATCCTATCCCGGGCACTGATGTTACTGTGAAGAAAGGGCAAACTGTGATTATATCAGGTTGGGGGATACAACACGACCCGAAATATTATCCCAACCCAGATAAATTTGATCCCGAAAGATTCAGTACAGAAAATGAGAAGAACAGACATTCCTGTGCTTATTTACCATTTGGAGCTGGTCCTAGAAATTGCTTAGGTAGGTTAATCGTTCTTTTATATTTTTACATAAAAGTTAAAGAAAATGGATGAAGCCAAGAATTTAATAACTGGAGTAAAATTAGTTGGCACGTTTAGAAAGACATTTTGTTTTTTTTTTTTGGTGAAGGCAGTGGTCAAATACGCGATATAATAATACTAGCTTTCGCCCGCGACACCGTCTACGCGGAATTAAAAATAAACATAGTTAGTAAGCCTATGTGCGACAAATTTCAGCGAGATCCATCTAGCCGTTCTGGAGATACCTTCAAACAAACATCCATCCATCCATGCATATATCCATGGGTGCATTTCTTCATTGACTTAATGATATTTTTTTTTATTTCAGGTGCGCGGTTTGCAAAATGGCAATCCCAAGTGTGCATCATAAAGTTTTTGTCCAACTTCCGCGTGGAACCATCGAAAAATACACAGTTAAAGTTCAAATATAATCCTACGCGTTTGTTCGTTTTTCCATCCGGTGATATTAATTTAAATGTTGTAAAGAGGTAATAAATACCCTTAAAAAAGTTTAAAATAAAACTTTAATGTCATATAATTTTATGGACTGGATAAGACTTTTAACACGTTTCATGCCTCGGCAATTTTTCATAAGAAAGTGAACTCGCCAGACGAGTCCGTGGCATTTAATGTGTTAAAATCACGTTTTAAATATAAGAATTGTTATTTTTAAATTATTTTATTGTCTTTATATTGATAGATCATTGATGCAGTTGGTAAGACTTGAACATTTTTATAGAAATTCAAAGATATGTGTAAAGTCAATCCGCACTTGGCCAGCGTGGTTGACTATGACCTAGTCTAGAAAGAAAAATTGTACTTAAATATGTTGATATTGTGTTTTTAAAATAAATGTCAAGTGTTTAAAATAAAAATTATTTTACTTACCTTATTTCTTATTTTATATAAAATTAAACTATCATATTATACATACAAATAAGGTACAAAAGATTATTCCAATAAAAACCCAAATCTTACTAATATTATAAATGCGAATGTTTGGATGTATGGATGAATTGAGAGGGTTGTTTGTTAGACGTTATCTCCAGAACGGCTGAATGGATCTCGCTGAAATTTGACATAGATGTAGAACATAGTCTGGAAGAACACATACGCTAATAAGTTTTATTTTTAATTCCGCGCAGATGGTGAGTTACGGGCGACAGCCAGTAACAAAACAAATATCTACACACATATTCTTTTTCAAAATATCCTATCTGTCCTCCTTTAGGATATACACTCTTTGAGGAAACACGACAAATGACACGTCAAGAAGTCAACCAAGCTTGTCAGGCCACAGAAGCTTCCAATAGAAAAATTTACATATAATGCATAAAAACATTTTTGCTAAACCTAATTTTGCTTGAGTATCAAATGAATTTAATTTGGTCTACAAGTTATCATTTTTAATCATAAACTAGCTGTCGCCCGCGACCGCGCAGAATCAAAAAAAAACTTAATAAGCCTATGTGTTCTTCCAGACTGTGCTCTACATCTATGCCAAATTTCAACAAAATTCATGCAGCCATTCTACAGATATCTTCAAACAAACATCCATCTAAACATTCGCATTCATAATATTAATAAGATAACTATGTACTTAAATAGATAAAATTATTTATATTGTTATCAAAAATGTTTTCATATGTTTTATCTTTTATTTACATACAATTAAGATATATATTTCAATTAAAATAATGTTAATCTTTAACGGAAAATATTGCTGAGTCCAGTGTAATGATAACAATAACGCAGACTTTACAAAAATGCTATGATATTAAAACATCAAGTGACGTATGACATAAATATTTATTACACCGTTTTAAGTCATTGTAAGTACCTAAAGTTCATAACTATTATGGAGAAAGAACAAGCTTATTTTGTACTTGTTAATAAAAAGAACTAAAAGAAAAAATTAAAGACGATTCAAATGTAACTCAATTGAGGTTATGTCGTGTGTCATTTGTTCCTGGGGCATAATTGTAGTATTCTTTCCATTCCCATCCTTTTCTTATAAGGAATGGATGAAGGGGAAGTGGATTTGATAGAGTAGGGGATGCATAAGAAGGGGAAATTTTTATTTCTGTGCGGCTCTCCTTCCGTAGATGAGGGGAACATATGTGTAGTTGTGAATGTGAATGTGCAGCGGTCGCTTCGCCATTTCAGCGAATTTAAGTCACCACTTACCGTTACCTTATATTATAATAAAGAAAAAAAATAGCTTAACTTAAGATCGTTTTTAGATCAAGATTTTCTAAACCCTTATTCGATCTCGTTAAGGTCTATATACGTCTTCGCTTTTGGCAAAAATCTGTTTTTTTTTCGTAGGTATCTTGTTCACTTTTTATGCTTTAATTCCCTTTGACTCAGCACTAAATTTTCCTTTAAATATTATTACAAGTAAAAATATATCTTACATGTATGTAAATAAAAGATAAAACAATCAAAAATATATTTTGATATAAATATATTGATTAATGAAGGTATTTTATCTATTAAAATATAAATATCGACCAGTCCAAATCTAATTCTTTTGCTCGACAAGAAATAAAACTTTAACGAGAATGTATAATACATATGTATGTTTGTATTGATTTATTTTCCAGGTGTAGATTCTGTGCCCTAAACAGCTTCACAGATTTTGTTAGTTGTCATTTTCCTCAGTGAACTACGTGTTTTATTATGGGGTGGGAAATCTTCGTAAGATACCATGCCTTTTGGGGGTAACACAGGGTTATAAGAGATTCTTACTCAGTAAAACCCCCTCGGTGGCCAACCCTAAGTGTGACTGCGAACGTCCCGGGATCACCAAAGGAACGCACAGGAACTCTTTAGTGAACCACTACTAAATAATTTACTTAGTAGCTTACGTGTTCTTCCAGACTGTGGTAACATTAACAGTGGTAGAGCCCGCTTTAACATCTTCGCACGAATTAACCCGGCTCGCCCGGTGAAATACCACGACCACACAGAAGATAGGCGTGAAGGAAGCAATTCCATGTTTCGTCTGATGAGTATGTGTCCCGGAGGCCTAATTTAGTCCTCTTTCCCTTCCCGCCCTTTTTCTTATAAGGAAAGGATGGGAAGAAGAAGTGGACTCTCCGGATGAGAGGATGCATGGAAAGGGAAAATATTTGCTTTCTGTGCATCATCTCCTCCTTCGACTAAAGGTAGGCAACGCATATGCAATTGCGTATGTCTATGGGCAACGGTCACTTCGCTATTTCAGCGATTTTAGGTGGCCGCTCGCTCGTTTGCCACCTTATAATATAAAAAAAGACTCTTCTGTGCCAAATTTAAGCGAGTTCCTTGCTGCTGTTCTAGAGATACCTACTAACAACTTTACATGCATGACATACATCCAAATTTTATGATATTAGTAAGATATATTTATGATTTGTTCTGAATGGAAATACTTGTTTACTTCTCTCTTTCAACAATTTTTAATGATTGGACATAAATAAGAATAAAAAAAAATCTTGTAATCTCATAATAGGAGCTGAACTACGTAAACTTTATATAAATAGTAGATAACAGTATGTTATTGTAACATATCGCAATGTTGTGATTATTCAAAACAAATTATACTTTGTTCAAATCATTGTACGATTGGATAATTTTATACAAGTAAAGATGACGAGCATTTTTATAATACAATGGATATGCCAATAATAAAACGTTTTTTTTTATATCATAACTAGCTGTCGCCCGCGATTCCGTCCGCGTGGATATTAAAAAAACTTAGTGTAGCCTATGTGTTCTTTCAGACTATGTTCTATCATCATCAGCTCACTATACGTCCCCACCGAGGGGCTCGGAACCTACCCTGAGTTAAGGGTGATAAGGCCATAGTCAACCACGCTGGCCAAGTGCGGGTTGGTTGACTTCACACATATCTTTGCATTTCTTCTCGGATATGTGCAGGTTGCATCACGATGTGTTCCTTCACCGTTTCACCTATGTTCTATACGTATGCCAAATTTAATCGACGACCGTTCAGCCGTTTTAAAGATATCTTCAAACACCCATCCATCCATCTAAACATTCGCATTTATAATATTAGTAAGTTAAATAAAAAGCAGCTCTTCAAGGCATAAATTCTAAAAAAATATGAATAAATAGTATCCTATGTCCGTCTCCTGGCTCTAAGCTACCTCCTCACCAATTTTAAGCCATAGCGGTAAAGCCGTTTTTGAGTTATAAATAGTGTAACTAACACGAATTTCTTTTAAATATATAGTTTTTTTTTACTAGCTGTTGCAAGGGACTCCGCCCGCACGCGTTTAAAAAAACTTAATAAATAGCCTACGTGTTCTTCCAGAATTCTTAACCTGTGCCAAATTTCATCAAGATCCCTTAAGCCGTTCCGGAAAATACGTCCAACAAACATCTATCCATCTAAACTTTCGCATTTATAATGTTAGTAAAATCACCAAGAAAACGATATTAATATCAAGCGCCTGGAATTTAATTGCCGCAAGAATTCGAACGATTCGGTTTGCTCTTCAATACCAGTGAAATTCCACTGTCCTAAAACATGTAACATATTGTTGTCTCCGATTTTTCAAAAAGAATAAGAGGGACGGCTTCATCTTTTATACAAGTATTTCGACATTGGAATACATAGACCACGGCAGATTATCAACAGCTCATTTTTTTTTTAAATTAATAGTCACTCAGGAACATAAAATAAACAAAATTAAAATTATTTAAAAAAGTATTTAATAACATATATTTATAAATGAATGACATGATATATTTTTCATAATAGAATCCCCTTTGCCTACATAACTAACCGTGGGTTTCTAGGGCAAAATTATCTGTATAAAACATATCATCCCTATCTTTGACAAAATGTTTTAAACGTGGAATTTGGTCTTAGAAACTCACGGTAAATGTTTATAACTTGAGTTACAATTCCTGTGTACTCGTGAAGGTTTGGACCGCTAGAGTTGTTCTTCATCAAGTTTTGAGAGTACAGTTTTTACCTGACCGATAGATGGGGTAATATTTTTCGCGCTTTAATTTTTAAGTTTTTACCGCTTGTAGCGTAGACAAGTGTCATAATTAGTCCATTTTTTTTTCCAGACAGAATAAAAATATACAGATGATTTTAAGGTTAATTATTTTGCTTGTCTGTTTTTCAGTAATCTCTACGCACAACTTTCAAGTAGAGACCTCCTTGGGAATAGAGTAGTACACGCATGGGATCGTATTTTATTTCCGACGGTGTACTCTTCGATGGCTCCACACGGTATTTCGACAAAAACTTCACAATGAACACTTGAGATTGTAATTTAGCAAACCGCATACCTGAAATGAATTATTATTATTATTTTATGGCAAATATATTCTTTATTACTTTTTCTAATTTAATCTTGCATAGATACATTTTGACTATTTTCTACGTGTGTACCAAATTTCTGGCGATACCTTCTAACAAACATCCATCCATCAATCAATCCAAACATTCGCATTTATAATATTAGTAAGAAGTGTATAAACAAATCAACATACCTATACAGTTTCTGGGTCCAGTACCAAATGGTAAATAGGCGCAAGGGTGGCGTTTTTTCTCATTTTCCGTACTAAAATTTTCCGGGTCAAATTTCTCTGGGTTAGGATAGTATTTTGGATCATGATGTATACCCCAAGTGGATAAAACTACAGATGTCCCTTTCTCAAGAGTAATATCAGTGCCAGGAAGTTTATAATCAACTTGAGCCTTGCGCAGTATAACATCGGCGATCGGATACTTTCTTAAAGTTTCATCAAACACTTGATGGAGATATGTCATGTCGTTCAAGCTTTCATAAGTTATTTCCCCATTGTGTCCTTTAAGAACCTCTTTGATTTCTGTAATGAGTTTGTCTTGTACATCAGGATTCTTCGCCAATTCATAAAACAGGTGAGTCATCGTCGATGCACTAGTTTCGTAGCCAGCCGCATAGAAAACAAATGTCTGCGCTGCAATTATACTGTCTGTGACTTCAAGAGTTTTTACATCTTCATTATCATTTCTTTTGTATGATTCTATTGTCTTGTTCTGTCTTAATTCTAAAATTAAATCCATAAAGTCTTTTCTATTTGTTGGCATTCCACCTCTTTGCTTTATAACAGATTTCGTAAGATCATAGAAGAACGTTCTGATATTTTTCGGAAAGAGCGAACTATTGAATTTTTTCAATATACCAGGATACATCATGTCCAATTCTACGCCGTAATTAGTTACAAACATTATTTTATCAAAATTTTCTAGTGTTTGCATCATCTCATCGTCTAGATCCACACCGAAAGCGCAAGCTGTTATTGATCCTATTGTAAACTTTTGAAGGAGAAGATGCATAGGCAGTTCCGTTTGCTTGTCATAGATCTGACCTATGTAATCAATCACTTTATCCCCTCTGTCAGTCATCAGATATAACATATTCTTCAATTTTCCCGACGTGAAGAGAGGTGTGAACCGGTGTCGTAGTACCCTCCACTTGTCACCATCCGCATGAAACATATTCTGTCCCAAACCTTCTTCACTAAATGAAATTCCTCGGTCGACGAACAAATCAAAGTCTTTGATCAGAACGTGCTTAATAATATCCAAATCGCGCAGCATTAAGCAAGGAGTTGTCATTCTATAAAGGCCGACGACTTTTTCATTTGGATATGCTGGATAAATCTTTTTTAGAGTCATGATTAAATGTTCTCGTCTAAGAACAGAATCTATGATATTACCGAAGAATGGTAGCGGTTTGGGTCCGACGACATTTCTTTTCTTCCAATAATCAAATGTCCTGGTGAAGTAATAGTATAAAGACAATAACAAAGTTGTCACAGCCAGTAAAAAGTACATATTGCTTAACCTTCACTGTTCCCACGAGCTACTGAATAACAGACACTTTTTGTTGTTTGTTAAATATATAGATACGAGTCATTTTATAAATTGTCCAATTCATGCTAAGTATAATGATAACGAAAAGGCATTGACTCGATAAAATATTATTATGTTTTCGATTTGTTGTCAGGAATGCTAACTTGGTCGAAACGAGATTGATCAAAGGGCCTATTATGAATATGTGTGTACGTTTTCGTAATGACATCGACAACATTTGAATTAAAACTTATGCAGCCTGCCTGGTTAAAAGTACACCAATAAATCTGATACAAATATTCAAATATTTTGTTGATGTTACGAAGGCGCCTTTCACAAATATTCGTGCTAGGCCCTCAGATGTTTATTTCTTTTAATTCACATTTCATATAGTCGCCAAAACTGATGACTGTAGTAAGTTAGTGTTAATTAAACGACAAAAAGATGTTAATAGGAAAATGATTCCAACCCAAAAAATTATGTTAAGACAAAATATATTAAGCACACATTTTTTCACAAACTGCAGACGACTACAACTTTTTATATTAAAATATAAAACAGTAAAACTGTAAGCTTAGTATAAAAACACATCTATATATAAAAGAAAGTTGTGTTAGTTACACTATTTATAACTCAAGAACGGCTTTACCGATATGCCTGAAAATTGGTGAGGAGGTAGCTTAGACCCAGGAGACGGACATAGGATACTATTTATTCATTTTTTTTAGAATTTATGCCTTGAGGAGCTGCTTTTTTAACTTATCTATTATATATTTAAAAAAAAATTATATTATATATCCACGCGGACGGAGTCGCGGGCGACAGCCAGTTACTAATGAAATTGCAAAGTCATGTTTCATCAGATATTATAAAAAAGGACCTGATATAAGAAAGAATAATAAAAATTATAGATAACAAAGAAAAACATTGATAAGCTGATGTCTACGAATATTTTGCCTGCGCACTAAAACAAAGATTTTTTTTTATTTAAACAGAGCAAAATATTATGTTATATGAAAAAGATTAAGCAATGAAAAAAGTAGTGGCGAGTGAGATTTGAATTAATTAAAAAAATCATGTGTCACGTCACGTTCACTGCAAGTGTGTTGTGACGATGGAACATACCTATCATAACCTATCATACTCCAGATAAGAAAACGAATCGGATGACACCTCGATAAGTGTAACGTAAGGAATAACAATATTAATACGACTAATCAAGACCCAGAGTTATATTAAATAGATCTTTAGTTTCTTTGTTATCTTCAATAAATCTATATATATAAAAATGAATTGCTGTTCGTTAGTCCCGTTAAAACTTGGGACGGCTGAACGGATTTATCTTATCTTGGTCTTGAAATATTCGTGGAGGTCTAGGGAAGGTTAAAAGGTGAGAAAGATTCGGATAATTACCGGGAACTAATTAAGTTTTTTATTCCACGCGGACGGAGTAGCGGGTAACAGTAAGTAAATAATAATATCAATTTCGTATCTTATTATTTACTTGCTTATTATATATTAAGTTATATACTAGTAGGACTATCAGCACACTATCACAAATTATTATTTCTGTCTACATGTCTCGGTTGCGGACGTCAATTGTTTTCGTTGTTTCATGATCATTAATTCCTTGGTAAAATATTCAAGTAAATTCCAGATTCGGGATAAACAAAGAGTCGTTTAGGACCGTATTTGAATTCGGCCATAGTTTTTGAAGACGGCTCCAGTCGGAACTTCGACAGGAACTTGATGATGCAAACTTGCACCTGCCATTTAGCAAACCGGTTACCTGAAATATAAGAAATAACGTGATAAAAATTACTTAACCAAGTATAGTAGGATGTTCACAAGGGACAACAGTTTTAAAGTTTTGTCCTATTTATAATAGTACCTGGATGACTGTATTTTTTGGAAATTATATTTAAGTACGAATTACTAATAAAATGATGAAATATGAATAATATTTTTCGATCTTACCGATAGAAAAAGTTAAGTTTATGTTTAAGTTGATTATCGATAAAACACGAATAAAATGACATTTTCTAAAAATGATTCCTAGCTAGATCGATTTATTGCCCCCGAAACCCCCTATATACTAAATTTTATGAAAATCGTTGGAGCCGATTCCGAAATTCCAATTTTATTATATATATATATATATATTGCTCATTTAAAGATATAAGATTTAATTACGCATCATCTTTCTAGCCATATCAGTCACCTGGGGTCTTCACAAATAGAATTGACGACAGGAAGATGAACGTAAAATCTTAAGCCAAAACTCTAAGGTTTATAAAACTTTGTGCTTAAACCTCACCTGAGTGCTATGAGTCAAAAACTCGCTGCTTGATAGAGGCTTCGTAAAAACAAATGTTTTAGTAAATCCTCACAAGAATTTTAGTTCACCTCTAACTTAAGGTAGGTTCCGAGCCTATCAGTGGGGACGTGGTGGCTGATAATGATGATTTTAGTTTTCACAACGAGATCTTCAATTTTTGTATAGAAACTCAATGAATTTCGTATAAAAGAAACCCTATATAATTTAATCCAGATATTAACATTTATTAAATTGTAAAAAACATACCTATGCAATTTCTGGGACCAGCACCGAAGGGTAAAAACGCACATGGATGCCTATTTTTCACATTCTCAGGACTGAAGCGTTCAGGATCAAATTTTTCCGGATCTGGATAATACTTAGGATCATGATGAATACCAAAACCGGACATAATTACGGTTTGTCCTTTCTTGAGAGTAACATTAGTGCCAGGAACTGGATAATCAGCTTTAACATTACGATTCAAAAGATCTGCTACCGGATATTTTCTTAATGTTTCATGAAAGACTTGAATGAGATATGTCATATCATGTAAAGTGTCACTTGTTATAACACCGTTGTGACGTAAAAGTACTTTGTTGATTTCTTCAACAACTTTGTCTTGTATCTCAGGATTCTTTGCCAATTCATACATCATGTAAGCCATAGTCGAAGCACTGGTTTCATATCCAGCTGCATAGAATACAAATGTCTGCGCAGCGATCACACTGTCGGTCAGTTCAAGAGCCGTCACACCTGCATCGTCATGTTTCTTAATCGCTTCAATCGACTTCTTTTGCCTTAATTCTAGAATTAAATCCATGAAATCCTTCTTATTCGATGGTATTCCACCTCTCTGTTGGATGACATTTTTTGTTAGATTGTCAAAAAATGGACCTATCGACTTAGCAAAGATTGATCCATTAATCTTTTTCAAAATACCAGGATACATCATATCTAATTCGAATCCATAATTAGAATTGAAGATAACACTATCCATTTTTTCTAAAGCTTCAAATAATTCATCATTTAAATCCAAACCAAAGGCACAAGCAGTTATTGAAGCCATGGTAAACTTTCGAACTAGGGGAATGATATGTTGCTCTGGTTGACTTTCACAAATCTTCTCAACGTTATTGATGAACTTGTCGCCTCTGTCAGACATCAAATACAGCATGTTCTTAAGCTTACCCAACGTGAATAGAGGTGTAAAACGTTGTCTCAGAGCCCTCCATCTATCACCATCGGCGTGAAAGATATTAAGACCCAAACCTTCTTCACTAAATTCAATTCCTCTATCAGTAAATAATTCAAAATCCTTAATCATAACATGCTTTATAACATCCAAGTCGCGCAGGAAGAGGCAAGGCGTCGTCATTCTATAAATTCCAACGACCTTCTCTTCTGGATATGCTTCATATATATCTTTATAGATCATAAGCAAGTGCTTTCGTCGTATCACAGATTCCATGATGTTGCCAAAAAATACGACCGGTTTTGGTCCCACAACATTTCTCTCTTTCCAATAGTTGAAATTCCTTGTAAAGTAAAGATATAAAACCACCAACAAAGTTGATGTAAATAATATTATCGTTAACATTATGAAATACCGTCACTGCGCACAGTTTTTCACAAATGTAAACAAATTTGTAAACGCTCTTCTGTATATATACGTAGAGATCACATTATGCAAAGTCATTGGTGTAATAATGAACTATGTATCTTACTATAAAAAATTAAGATATGATGATTAATCTTACATAATATTATGTAATTTTTCCATTTATATTATCCTGAAATATTACATAAGCAGGATGTTCTAGAAAGATTTTTTTATTGTCACTGTATTTATTCAGGTGACGAAGTCTACAAGTATTGCAGCGATTTTTTGAGTGATCGTTTGATCTATTGGTAAATGTAGCGAAGTTTTATTGATACGAAATTTATGGAAACCTTTTATTGTACTGTATATGCTCATCTGAGTGTGACAGTCCCTTTGTGCTGAAATTTTAGTCAATAGACTGTTCAACAAAGCTCAACACAGCATATTGCTGTGCTCCGTTCAAAGCTCAATGCGTTGAGTGCTTGTTACCAAGTTATTGTTTGCACAGCGGCAATAAAGTCACATGTGTATGTGTATCTTTATTCGCACAATTGCACAGACCGTTTATTAACTTTGTTAATTTATAACTTAACTCGTTTTAGTACTTAGTTTTGAGACGCGGACGCAGGCGCAAGTTCGGTCGCGAAAATTCAAACATATGAATTATATGGGAATGACCACATCTAAATAGCGGCGGAGCTCGCGATTCACTCGCGATTGCAAGTAAGCTTAATTGATTTGATCCGATCGATTAAGGGGTTAAGCATTTGACTTGTCTACAGGTTCTGAATTCGAATCCCACTATGTACCTATGTGTATATTTTTACTTTTATCCTACTCTCTTACGGTTAAGGAAAATATCGTGATCTAACTTGCACATATCTCCAAAGAAATTCAGAAATAAGTGTGAAGTCAATCCGCAGTATGCCAGCGTGGCTGACTATGGCCTAATTAACTAGTGGTAAGCTCCGACCCCTCAATAGGGACGTACCGTGACCTGATGACGACTTATACACTCACGGAAAAATTTAAAACATGTAAGATTTTAACGCAGTTTCAATAAGGATCTTTTGGCAATCGGATATGTGAACAATCAACGTCATCTGTGCCAAATTTCAGCAAAATTCATGCCGTTGTTTTGAGTTATCTTCATCTGTTGTTTATTTTATATCCATCCATCGGATTGATAATATTAGTAAGATTGGTGAATTTCGGAATTAATTAGGAAATGATTGCTTAATGAACCCTAAAAACTCATAAGTGCCTCTATTTAGGATTTACAGAGATTTTGATCTTGGTAACTCACAGTTAAATGTGTCTTGCAATTATCTTACGTGATATAATTAATTTATCATCATTGAATTTCCTTGATAAAGTATTAGAAAGAAGAATGACCATCAAAATTATCCACAATTTTATAATGCAGGCAACACACGTTAGGTTTTAACAACGTATCAGTACATAACGTAACGTACAGACAAACCTTACGTGTGTGACAAAACTATGAAATACCAATAATCTTGTTTCTTTTTCCTGCAACTATCATATACATGTATGAAAACATTATTGTTATCTCTGTTTACTTCAAACAGAATGAGAGGGAGGGAAATATTGTTGTTCTTCAAATGTTACGGCCATGGACACACACTGTAATATTTTATCATTCAGTTATTATTGTATTTTTTTAACAAAACTATTATTATTACTATGATAAATAGGAAACCGATATTTTAATCCCATTCTTATATACAATAGAACTTGTTTTTTATATAAAGGTATGTAAAATGTTCGTTCCGTGTTAATATTTAAATGATGTTATTATTTTATTATCAATCATATTTTTCTTGATATAAATTATTATTATTGTATTATCAAATTCTTATAACTACTAAGATAAGTGAAGATATTTCACAATAATAATCATTTTTGTGCAACATTAATATTAACAAAATTCTCTTTTTAGACTTCGTTTCATTCCTAAATAAATTGTTTTTTTTTATAACAGAACGGGGCAAAGGAGCAGCCGGAACACAGAAGTGTTCAACGAAGCCCATGGACATCAGCAATACCAGAACCGCAGATGGTGGACCTTTGAGATGGTGATAAGCTCGCTTATTGAAGGAAGTCGTAGCGGTTTGAAAATACCGCCGACTTAGGGTCCTTCCTATTCCTTCGGATTTCGCTTCGCTTCGGATGGAATGCATTTTGTCTAGCCTCCCTGTTTGCAAGCGACTGATGATGGCGACGAAAGAACGCGCTGTAAACGAACCTGTATGATGGGATTATAAAGATTTACGTTGCCTTGGGTAGGAAGGCGCTGTGAGGTCGCCACCCAAACACATAAACGAAAATATTGTTTACTAGCTGTTGCCCGCAACTCCGTCCCCGCGAAATTAAAATTAATTCAATTACTCACCTATGTGCTCTTACAGACTATGTTCTATATCATGCAGTCGTTCTTTAGATACCTTCCAAACATACATCAATACATCCATCCATCAAAACATTTACATTTATAGTAGTAAGGTCTGTTAACGGAAAGTGGGTCTGATTAAACTAGACGTAACAATGACAACAAATGAAGCTTGGACAAGCCTAATGCAAGATGGACCAATGATCTAGTCAAGGTTACGGGAGTATCCAAGGATGTGGGTACCATAGGACTGATCAACGTCTCGATCTTTTGAAGGGGCCTATGCCCAGTAGTGGGCGTATGTATGGCGCACCACGTATGGTTGGATGGATGGATGGGTGTATGAAGGTATCTCCAGAACGGTTCAAAAGGTTTTGATAACATTTCGCACAGATGTAGAATATAGTCCTTAAGTATCCAAAGGCTACTTATTAAGTTTTTTTTTAATTCATCGCGGACGGAGTTGCAGGCGACAGCTAGTATTCTCTAAATTTAAATTATGACGTGCAATATCGTAGATTATTATGATTTAGATTACATTGTTCAATTCAAAGCTATAGATAATAGGAGCGTCGGTGGCTCAGGGTTTGAATCCCGCCATGTACATATGTGTTTATCGATTTACATATGTACATTTATCCGAAGTTCTTGCGGTGAAGGAAAACATCGTGATGCAACCTGCACATATATACGGGAAGAAGTTCAAAGATATGTGTGAAGTCAACCCGCACTGGGCCAGCGTGACTATGGCCTAATCACTTGTAACTTAGGGTAGGCACGAGCCCCTTCGTGGGGACGTGTAATGAGCTGATGATGAAGATATCATAAAAGGTTTATACTACCTGATTCTTATCAATTTTGAGACATGTCGTAACTTACGAAAGGTTACGAATATAATTAAAAAATCTTTCTTACTTGTTTAGTGTTCCTTAAATATATTAGTATTACCATAAATACCCAAAAAACTCAATTAAAGACTAGCCTAAATGGCATACAGATTCATAAACAGCGCGCGTCGCCGACCTTTTGTTCTTTCATCATCAGGTGGTCGCAGCCTGTTTGTCATAATCGCCATAATTTTCAAAATGGCGGAGCAAATCAGTTGACATTAACAAGAATCAAGGCAGTCGGAACATATGTGAACTGTCGTTTTGACAGTGTCATATTTTGACCAATGAGGACAGCAGCAGCTGCGGCAGAGGCGCAGCAGCTGCGCAGTTTAATATTGCCATTTTCATAATTCCGAAATTCCGTAAAAATGTCACACGTGTTGTTATGGTGATAGAGTTGCAACATGGCCGACTTTGGCTTCTATACCGATTAAAAAAACACATATTTTACTTTTTAAATTGCATTTATTTAAAAAAATAAATTATACATTCACAATTACAATTTAAATTATTCTTTAATTAAAATCTAAAATAATTGGGTCTGGTGATGGTAAGGGACTCTTAATTATCAGACCCTAATTTAATATCTACAAGAACCTATACTGACTTGAAGTTATGTACATTTAAAATAGGCAGAGGAGGGAACAAAAGGATATATTGTTCCTCTCTATGCCAACTCCTGTCCAAAGTACTCCTCCTAGTACTCTCTATTCATCCAAAAACGGATCTAGTAGTACTAGAATTAGATAGGAACTGCTAAATAATTCAAATATTACTAACAATATTTATTTTATTTAATAAAACCTAAGTTTCACAGTTTTTCTAATATATACTTGGACTAGCATCATTTTTGCGACAAAATATATCAGTGGGTTTTCAATCATATTGTCATCTCTCACATTCACCTTGATAAAACTAAGACAACAATATGGGCTACGCCTTAAAGCAGTCGTAAGATTTATCTCCGTACAATGTTTAATGGTATTCCTCCTATGGGGACACAAAATATTAAATTGGGGTCATATTTCAACTCCAAAGGCGTGTTCTTTGAAGGCTCCACGCGGAATTTTGACAAAAACATCACCGTGCACACTTGAGACTGCCATTTAGCGAACCGCATACCTGAAATTATAAATTAACATCATCAAAATCATGACACACAAGATAATAATATCAACCATTATACTGTATTTGGATTACAAAAAACACATTTAAAGACTATACAAGAATTTCATCACAGTATTAATAAAACTAAATCAAGTTCCCAATGCATCATTCAGATAATGACCAACTAAACGTAGACTAAAATAAAATTCTAAACTCAATTGGTATATGTCCTTGTTTTACCAAATAATATTAAAAAGAAATACGCACCTAAGCAGTTTCTAGGACCGGTGCCAAATGGTAAATAAGCACACGGATGTCTTTTTCCAACATTTTCGGGAGTAAATCTTTCGGGATCAAATTTTTCGGGGTTCGGATAATATTTAGGATCGCGATGAATCCCATATGCAGAGATAATTACAGTGTCTCCTTTGTGAAGAGTGATATTAGTGCCCGCAATTTTATAGTCACTTTGTGCGTTACGATGCAAAAGATCAGCAACTGGATATTTTCTTAAAGTTTCATCAAATACTTGACTATAATATGTCATCTCATGTAGAGCGTCGTATGTTAATTCACCATTATATCGTTCAAGAACCTCGTCTATTTCCTTAACAAGTCTATCTTGTATATCTGGATTCTTTGCCAATTCGTAAAACATGTGTGTCAAAGTTAAAGAGCTGCTTTCATACCCAGCCCCGTAAAATGTAAAAGCCTGCGCTGCGATAATACTGTCAGTCAGTTCAATAGATTTAACATCTTCGTTTTCATTTTTTCGCGCCGCTTCTATTACTTTCTGTTGTCTCAATTCTAATATTAAATCCATGAAATCTTTTCTATTTGTTGGCATACCGTTTCTTTGTTCGATGACACTTTTTATAAGATTTTGGAAAAATTTACTTAAAACACTTGAAAATAATGAACCGCCAAACTTTTTCAATATTCCAGGATACATCATATCTAATTCGATTCCATATCTTGCTACTGATAATATTTTATTTATTCTTCCCAATGTTTCGAACATGTTTTCATCTAAGTCAATTCCAAACACACAAGCTCCAATGGAAGCCATGGTAAACTTTTCAACCAGAGATTTTATAGGTTGTTCTGTTTGGATGTTAGTAATCTCTTCGAGATGTTTAACAAACTTCTCACCGCGGTTGGTTATTAAATGCAACATATTCTTGAGTTTTCCTGACGTGAATAGAGGTGTAAATCGATGTCTTAGAACTCTCCATCTGTCACCGTCTGCATGAAAGATATTAGCACCGAGACCCTCTTCACTGAATTCGACTCCTCTATCCACAAACAATTCAAAATCTTTAACAAGCACGTCCTTTATAATATCTAAATCTTTCAACATGAGACACGGTGTCGTCATCCTGTACATTCCAACGACCTTTTCATTAGGATACGCTGCGTATATATCTTTGTAAACCATTATCAAATGCTTTCGTCTTATTACGGAATCCATAATATTGCCAAAGAACACTACCGGTTTGGGACCAGCAACATTTTTATTCTTCCAGAAGTTGAAATTTCTTGTAAAGTAAAGATACAGAAAAACAACCAAAGTTAAGGGAATAAGGTAAAAATACATCTTGTTGATATCCAAAACTGGTCACAAAGAACGTAATAATGATAATTTACGCACTAAATATATTTATACTCATAAAGTGATAAAGTGTACTCAAGTAATTTATCGGTACACTGAAAATTATTATTGAGCAATTGTTAAGCAGAGATAACAATTATCAAATCAACCGGATACAATCTGATATATTTATCAATCGTCGGGCTTTGAACAGTACTCAAATAAACCAAGATTAAAGATTTAATTTTAGGTGTCATCTTGCATAATATTTTGTAACTTTCTGTCAATTTTAGGGACTCTCAAGTCACTTCATACTTCTTCATAAGACATTCCTATATTACTTAAGACATTATTAGCTAGAATCAATAAGCGCAAAGGACGTGCTTTCGTTACAAAGTCCAGTGTCAGAATTAATAGTGAGGGACATAAACGTCGACTTAGTAAGGCTAGTGTTAGGTCAATACACTGCCACATTTTCGGATTTTCTTCCCAACAGTTATTAGATCCTAAGTCTATATATTGCAATCGAGAACCTACAAAGCATCACTTAACAACGACGCGCAAATATAAGGACAAACAGAATGTGTTTGGAGAGAAAGAATTAACTAACACTGGAAGAGCTCGTCAAATATTTGGTACGGGTTTATACATTGGCCTACATCGCACCCAAGAAATATTTTACTATCGCAAGAACATTATAATCTATACCTAATCTACAAAAAAAAAATTTCCTTAAATTATTTAACTACCTAATCTTGATGTTAAAATCCGATTAACTAATGATAATTAATTTAATATCCATCAAAATTAGCATTCCATTATCAAAATTTTATATATTTCAAAATTTTGATGGATGGATGGATGTTTGTTAGAAGGTATCTCCAGAACGGCTGAACTGAATTGGCATATATGTAGTTAGGAAGAACACAGGCTACTAATTAAGATTTTTGTTTTGTTTCGCGTATTTCAGACAACCTACTCAATTGTGTCACCTACATGCAATCCATCCATCTATTTCTAGACAAGCCCTTATCCGATGTTCCATATATAAAAAAAACTATATAATACGATGCTGCAAAGATGAGTTACTAAAATGTATTCGTGAATTTTAGCTCAATAAAATGAGGCTTTATTAAAATTAACATTATAATCTTGTGGGCGTAAACTATGTATGTATCCCGATGTCACTTGCCAAATGTACTGTGACTTTATATTTTTAATTTGTATTCTGGTAGGGACTGGATGAGAGTTTTACTACATTCTTTAAAATTAATTATGATGAGACGGGTTAACGTTTGCTATTCCCAGCAAGAACGGTGCAAGTTCATAGCTTTAGTAATTTAAAGCAAGTTGCACGCTTGATGCTTGTCTTTATCCTGCTATGATTAAAAGCGGTAAATTAAATCTCTAGGAGCAAATACGACACGCGACAATGTTACGATGTCACAGTGTAGATATGTCAGATATCTCAAGAAAAAAAATCGACATTAAATCTTTGCAAAGTTTATAGCTATCTTATAAAAAATAACATGAGCTTAAATTATACTTTTATAACACGTAAAACTAGTAACAAACACATAAATCTATATTTTAGGATTCCGTACCTCGAAAGGAAAAAACCCTTATAAGATCACTTTGTTGTCCGGTCCGTCTGTCTGTCTGTCAAAAAGTTTTCTCTTTTATTACAGGTATCTTTTAGTACATTTTTTTAAAGGTACGGAACCCTTAATCTCTCTCTCTCTCTTTCTTTCTCTCTCTCTCTCTCTCTCTCATACACACTCAACCTCTTCTATCTTGTTTCTCATACGTTGGTGGGCTTAGCTCTCATTGTAAACATCTTCCACTTCCCTCTATCTAAAAATACAATAGAAGGTATTTGAATGACAAACAAGTTGGCACTTAACATCACGTAACTTAGAAGTTAACAGTTCGTAGAAGGAAGTTCGTTCACTTTACAACGAGAACTTGTTTAACAAGCACGGCTTGCTTACTAATCAGGAAACGCGATAGTAACATATACTTATTCACCTCTATTTTAATTTACAATTAAGTTCTTTATTTCTGGAAAACTTTGATTAAATTTAGAAAATATATAATATAAATATTTTTTTAATTCCGCCCGCGACTCCGTCTTCGCGGAATTAAAAAAAACTATTGGTCACAGCTTAATGTTATATAGCGTAAAGCCTTCCTCTATGAATGGACTATCCAATAATTTTTCTAATCGGACCAGTAGTTCCTGAGATTAGCGCGTTTAAACTCTTCCGCTTTATAATATTAGTATAGATTCAAGTTAAATTATACTGGAAATGTTAAAATTCTTTTGGGTTTTCCATCAGTTAAACTGACGCGTATATTTGTGAGTTTTAATGAATATTAGGCTCACTTCCTGTTGATATATTGTTTCGAAATATTAGTTCTAATTACAATATTATAAAGGAAAAGGCATTTTTTAGGGTTCCGTACCTCGAAAGAAAAAAACCCTTATAGGATCACTTTGTTATCCATCCGTCTGTCTGTCAAGGCCCTTTTTCTCAGGAACGCGTGAAGGTGTCAAGCTGGAATTTATTTTATCAAAGTACATATCGAAATAAATCCGAAAACTAACTTTCATCATAAAATATGTATATTAATATTAGTGTATAAAAGTTTACTATCTTGATAAAAAAAATAGATTAACCGTGGATTTCTGAGACCAAAATCTCTGTTTCTTTAAGATAACAATATGTAATAAATGAAAAAATAAAAATAATTTATTAAAATCCAAGAACATAATTTCACATTAAAAAGTTAAGCTAAGAAATTTAATGGATACAAAAAAGGTGGGTATCACAAGTGTTTACCAGTATCCTCGCACTAGGCGCAGACTGTGTCGCGAGGATCCTGCTCTTAAGATTTATCAGAGGTTCGTTAGACGGCAACAAATTAAGTAAAATACAAATAATCAAGTGCCATTTGTTTTAGAAAGAAGAAATGGATATGTTGCTCTCAGAAAACCATAATAAAAAGGTGTAGTAAACATATAATGTATTTCATTTGTCTATAAAGCAAAGTCGGGTCGTGTTTCTTGTGTTATTTATGAACGCATCAGGACTCGCATTAGAAAAGATACTGTTAGCACGTCTTTCCTTGTGAGTGCCACTCAGAATAAAATTTCTGTAAATAATGTATCTTAGACGCTGAACGTCGCTGTAGACGAGTTTTTAAAAGATTCTTGTAAGTAAAAGATCTGTGGTTACTTTCTACGTGACTGAGAAAGTTACCCTTTCGTGGAATTTCATAGTTACATCATTTCTTTTTTACATTTCCAAAAATAGGTATTTTTATTTTACTCATAAAATGAATTACAATATTAATATTATTGCTATTTCCATCTATAAATAAAAATTTGTGTTAGTTTGTCTGTCCTCAATGCCAGCTATCGGATTGTGAATATTTTCGGTGCTGAAAAATCTAATTTTTAATGATTTTTTGCAGTTTTCCTTTGACTTCATTTAGAGACGGCTAAACACTCACGTATATTCGTCGGGTGGCGGCACCTGGTGATGTACGTGAGTGTTTAGCCGTTTTATATCAGTTTATTATATTGTTTCACGAAAGTTTGAATAATTCATTCAGAGATTTCAGAGGCCTGATTGGAGTTCTTTTTCCTCTCTCCCACTTTTCTTATATGGTTAGGATGGGAAGAGGTAGTGGACTTAACGCATAGGAATGAGAAATGTCATCTTTTAGTGCATAAATTGTGATAAAAATATGAGTGAATGATCGTAAGTTAGGCCCTGCGTTTGTAGTTAGCTTAATATTTAACAATCGTATTATTGGTCGCTTGCCAAAGGTTTTTGTGTCCTTGTGAGACTTAATATAATATCTTTTGGAACATCAAATGTAATGTACACATATTGCTGTATTCTTGGTAGTTCCGCATTGCGACGGACAAAAAATATTTATGTCACAAACTTAAGTCTGGAAATAAAACGACAAATTGTCATAGACTGATGACAAGATTGCCAAGAAAAAAAAACTACCAAATTAACGATATATTTACATTTTTATAATATTTATAATCTTTTGAAATAAAAAATAATAAACTATAATTGTTAATTGATGCCTTTGTATATGCAATTATTTTTCCCTATCTTGTAGTCTTTGGTTACTGCTACGCTATGCTACGATGTGCTACGATCGCTACACTTTTTTGATACCAAAAATTTCTCTCTACTTATTTCAATACCTAAACAAAATCTGTAAGAAAAATACTAAAAAAATATTCTAAAGTGCATTTTCTCAAAGGCGAAATTCATTCATAATTTGTTTAAATTTATTTTTTTACTAACCGAGTTTTACAGTCCGTTTCCACTACAGAATGACTGATACTAAAACGTATCTTCACTAAAATCTTACTGTTGAGTTTGATGAATTGTAACAAATTGCATTGTAGTAGGATATATCCCTTGAGATTCGACCCAAAAGTTACGACACAAGTTCCACCCGAAGAAACGTGCTCAAATGTAAAAAGTCTCAATTGCGTTGTGTCCTCCTACGGCCTAAACAGCCTGGGCTAATGTTGAATTATGATATTTCATTTGATGTATTGCTGGATCTGCGGGAGCTACAAGCGATAGACTGGCAGGAGAAGGCGCAAGACAGGCGACTCTGGCGATCTCTTGTGTCGGAGGCCAAGACCCACTTTGGGTCGATGCGCCAGCGGAGTAAGTATTTGATGTCATAGATGTATTAGAGTTTGTAAGATTCTTTTGTAATTACTGACTTAATATAATTTGTATTTTTTACATTTCTATAAATATCCAACTGTGTTTTTCAACTATTGAAATTCAACGGGGAATTGCCGCCAGCCTCTTGGGAACCCTACTGTGCGACCGCAGCGATTTGGGGTCCATTTTTATATTATTTAGTTTTATTTAGTTCTAGTTTATTTAATATAGTATAAATTAATTCATTTATTTTGTAGTGGTTAGTTATAGTAAAATAGTCTACCTAAGTTAACTTAATTTAATATCTGTATCGAAAAATA